TTTCCGTGGTGATGGCGGTGCTATTCTGGTCGGCGGCGAGAGATTTGAGGAATTGGAGCGCGTTGTCGTAGTGGACGCTCGAGGCCGCCCATAGGGACTCGAGCGAGTCTTTAAATGCCATGATGGTCGCGCGGGGGGTTGAAAGCGCAGGGCCCGACAATGAAGGACAATTGCAGATGAGTTGGGCGCTGCTTCAACAACAATGAATGGTTCGAGATACTATTCTTATTATTATTATTATTGCAGCCGGGCTATTTTGAGCCCCTGAAACGCGAGGTCCGCCCATCCGAGCCTGAGGCATGCTCTCGCTTTGCCTGTTTGGGGTGCCAGGCCCCACTGCTTTCTTTGTCGCGGTTTGTCTCTCTTCCTCGCTCAACTGCCATGACATCCTCCACCTCCTCTTTCATTCATCCAGGAATAGCTATCCTCAACTGCATGGAGGGCATCTGGCGAATATGTTCTTTCACGGAGGTCTTGTGCCGGAATGGCATAGGCGACCGGTAAATGAAAGAAAGCACGATGCGCTAAATCCCCGCACCGCGGGTGGTGATCTGCCCACGGATGCTAGTGCCAAGTGCAATATCGAGGCACGGAGCCGGTCGCTCGGATCCGACGACTGGCTGGTCAAGGTCCATGTAGGCATGGTGTTTGATGACATACACTCATACTGATAGCTATAGACTTGCAGGTCTTCAAATATCACTATGTGTAACACGCGCAAGTTAACAAAATGGACGCAATGCAATCACCGGGGTATAGTGACACTCGCCTCTTTGTCGCTCATGGCGCGAACTGAAAGAAAACTGCATCCTGCGTCAGCCAACCGCCTGTCACTGGCTACGATCTAGAGCTTTGTCTCGCGTCGAATCCTTGAATCATCACGACGCCCAGCCTCCTCCAGAGACTCCACTTCTTCCTAACGATATGGTTTGTGGTTAGCCAAAACTCTATTCCCGAGTAGGCGTTGCATTGACCATTCGTGATGCGTTATGTCGTGCTACGCCTTGTGGGATCCCGATGCTGTGTACGCGAGGCCGTTATCAGTCTCGGCTCTTGCGCTGTGGCTTTGCTGATACTATGGAGGTTCTCGCCAAGGTCGAATATCGGAGAGGCTCACATGAACCCTCCATTATATGCCCTTTCTCTTCTGCCTTTCATCATCTGGTTTCTATATTGCTTTCCTTGTTCACAGGGTATGTAGTCCTATTAACTCTGATCTGACTAGATATTGCACCTTTCATCCTCACTGGTGTTCCAGCTTATCTTGACGCTGATACCCTGCCATTCGCCAACTGCTCGTAGGGTATTGGTCAAATATGACTTTCGGGAAGCTTACTTGCCCAACACCTAAAGATATTTACCTGCAGTAATTGCTACGCATTGGATGACTCTCAGCATGGCTTCCAACGTCGACACTTTGGATATTCCGGAGATCCGAAGGATGTCATGGGACCTATATTACATCTGCAATTCCATCTCTGGAGATGCCCCGGACGGCTTCCGGCAGCTTGTGGCTAACTTGGAATCCCTGCATAGCGTTTTTCAAACGTTGGAAGACGATGCTACAAAGAACTCAGAGGCCGGGCAAGATAAAGAGCGCAAACATACCCTGCAGCGGTGCCTGAAATCTTGCTCTGGCATCTTGCAGCAGCTTAAGGAGGTCGTCGAGATGTATCGGGCTTTGGGTTTCGGAACCGGGAAGCAGTTATGGCAGTCGATAGACTGGATGACACAGCAAGGATTCATTGACGATCTCAATTCCAAGATAGTGGCCCATACATGCCATCTGGGCTTGTGTGTGAGCTCTATTGGCAAGTGAGTTCCCAAAACCCCGCTCTGAAACACTGGTCTCATTGTTTAGATCTTCTCTAGAAAGAACCGAAAGTACAGCAACGAGAAGTTCAGCGAAGGACATACCACCCCTGACTCCATCATCTTTGCAGATGCAAGACGAAGTCTCGCCCACGTCATTTTCAATACCCACATCTCGCCACCACAACGTACATATTATGGCAGAGCTGGATGGAACGGAGGTCCCGAATCCAAATACTGTCCGCGCCAATACACAACGCCCATTTACACCTGGCCACACTCGGGTTTCGACTTCTTCGGAATCTTTTGTATCCGGGCAGTCCGATGCGTCTATCTTCACAGCTACCACGCGTACCTCACCTAGTACCCCAGCTACGGCAAGTTTCAGCCCCCTATCCATGGCTCCTCCAGATGCTTATTCCACCGAAAAAGAAGTGGTTTGGGCTCGCGGGCCAGGGTCTGGAATCTCAAGTGTACAATATCAGCGGCAACTTCAGCGGTCGAACTCGATCAAACCAGGCGAGTCAATTTTGTGGGGTGGCCCGCCTCATTCAGGGGCTGATGCCATTCAAGAGCTCCACCAACGTCAATTGCGGGAACAGCTTCTTCGATCGCTGCGGTATGAACCACGGGATAGATTCCATCAGCCTGATGCTGAGCTCCTCGTGAAATTTGACAACCTAGCCCATAAAGAAGAGCGCCCCCAACATCTTACGACGAAAGGTTGGCTGCTAGTGGCGGTGTGGTGGTTCCTAAAGGTATACGTTCCCATCCGTCTACTCGTGGCGACGGCTGATGAACCCAAAGGCTAGGACAGCCCTTGCCAATAGCGAAATGCCAAGCCTTGTAAGCCACAGAGGCAGTGCAAGTCCATCCACAGTGTCATGGACCGCAAGTCATCAGGCGTATGTGGACCTCTTGAAGGCTTCGTACATCTTATATGACATTGTCTTGCGGGTGGAAAGCCCACAAGTGCTTTTGGAAGACGAGAACAGAAAATTGATATCCGATTTGTCTGAAGTAAGCTAACCAGATACTCATTCCGCTTAACCAAGGCTAAGTGTTTGAAGGGCATCAAAGAAGACTTTGCTCAATTTGGTACTGTTGATATTCCGGACTACGCTGCTACGCACTCTCAAAACCTCGATATTTGGGAGCCTGTACAACCCGAAGAGACGACAGGGAGTGAGGGTCAAGCTTCTAGTCCGGGAAACATCTGTTATGTCACAGTGGAGCTCGAAGATGGGGGTAATGAGGATGAACAAGTTCTCTTCCGGACTTTTGTGAATGCCGGCATTGGAAGCAAGAAGCTCCGTATGCGAACCAGAGGGGCTCCGTATATGCTACTGTTGTCCACCAGGTATGGGGAAAGTGAGCCCAAGATTACAATCTGCAACCAGTACGGCACTTTCTGTCTGCAGAGAGATTGTAGGTCACCAAAACACTTGACTAAATATCGTCTAATCTGGTTCATTTATAGTGACACCGGGGGATCTAGCTCAGTTAGTTCAGGTCTCAAATGCGCCTCTCGCCAGTCTCCCTGTCACAAGGACAACAGAACCTGTGACTTTGAAGTTTGACACCATGAGTGTGTCCGTTTCATTCCAATATTTATCGGATATGATGCAAGTCATCAATATGCCCAAGGCATACTTTGACGCGGTTCAGTTACGAGAACCATTGGAGTCGGACGAATTCACCGAGACTGTTGTTTTCAAAAGCTCCGCTGAATCGCTCGAGCAACTGAGGATGCCTAATATGACGTCCAGTCGTCCTCCGACAGTGCATAGGTCTTGCGAAGTGCGCATCTTGGAGAGATCTTTCAAAGAGGCGTGGCGCTCTGTTCGACGCATAGTCATCTGCTCTTCGGCTGCTGATCAGAGTGGGCAGATCATCGAATTTTTCATGCCATTGAGTCATGTGCAGGTCAGCCGTACCAAGGCATCGGGCTTTATACTGCTGAAATGGTCAGACACTGGTCAGGAGAGGTCGGGCAAGACAGACGGGAACTACCACCCCCTTTTCTCCTATGTCTATGACAGCAGCAATCCTAATATAGGAATCGGCATTCAATTTCGCTCCGGGGAGCAGGCGGATGAGTTGGAGAAGGCCATTCTGAGCAGGAATACAGAGGCGGTATTCACCTGGTCTCAGACCAAAAGCTCAGGCCAGGTCTACGATGTGGTAGATGCCGCGCTGGATGGAAAACGCTATAAGGCAGTGATGTTATGTCGAACCCGCGGGGAGTGGAAGCAATGCGGTCTACACTACCTTTATCGAGACATGGATTATGTCTATGAGCATTCGACTCTCCGTGTCAAATTTCCTCATTCGCTAAACGCCACTTATATATCATCCCACGTTGACCAGTTATATCGCGCCGACCAGCGAGTGTTCTTCTCCCACTGCGAAAAAGAACTCCGAGATATGGTCGTGGAGTTCAACGACGAGCACGTTCTACGGACATTCATGACCTCACTCGCATCATCGCACGAGCTAATATTCTCCCGACGAGCCACCTCCCTGATGACCAAAGAAAAGTTGCTTCTTGGTCCCAAAAAGTCCGTCAAAGGATACTCCCAGGTGCAACTATGGCGGGATGCTGAGACCCTTCGTCTTGCTGCCCGTTGGAACGACCACATTACAGACCGGTGGCTCACGATGACCATACCGTCCGGTGAACTAACCCGGGCCGGTAACCTTGTCAGCTTTCCCCCGAGCAGCTATTCCCGAGGAATGGTCCTCAATATGTCCAAGATGGCAGCAGGGTCGGCCAAGAATCCGAGCAGAGAGCACAAGATTGGGCCAATCACAATCATGTTTCCTGACACAAAAGGTATGTTTATATTGATTACGAGAGAAGATCGTGAGGCTGATATGGATACCATAAGACCGGGAAGACTTCGTCGCAGCAATAGTGGGTATGCATTCGAAGTAGTTTGACGAAATTCCGACTTCAACTTGATGTATCCGAGCGCAGAATGATATTCTATCCTAAGCGGGGCGTGTCTCCACAGAGAGATTAATGAAACCATGGATCTTGAAAACCCAATTTGCATTTGAAGATATCATCAAACCAGCCAATGAAAACATTCACAGTACATACATTTATGACAAGCGCCAGATAAACCAGCAAAATAGATAAAACTAACAGCGGATGAACCCCTAAGAACATGGAGCAAAAAGAGTAGTCACGCCCGGGATCGAACCGGGAACCTTCTCGGCGCCTCGAAAGGAAATCCGATGTGAACGAGAAATCATAACCATTAGACCACGTGACTCGTTCTTGAGAAGAAGGGCTAGAAATTGGGTCATGTAGAGGGCGACCAGACTGTCTCCATATTATATAGACCGGGGGGAGATATGTCACACCACTTGCGAGCTACCCTAGAGGCTGGATGCTCGGATGGATCACATCTGAATCCATCCCTAGATCTATGGCCAAAGGAAGTTCAATCTGGTCATAGACCCGATGTATAGACAGACCATAGTCGGGACCTTGATTCGGCTCTAGAATCACTGCACCCGCACTACATGTCGAATATCATCTTCCATATACCCTAACACCGCAACAGAGTCTAGCAGCTAGAATCCAAATATCACTAACCCCACAGCCCAAACCCACTGTCAGAAGAATATCTCATAGATAGGTGGTGTAGTTTGGCCCAGGATATGTGTGGATATCGGGGACTATTTTTTTGTTCCCATATGGGGCCGAGAATAGGCAAGGAAGTATATAAGTTTGGGTTTAGGTGTGTAACAGTATCTGTGGGGAATGGTTGGATGTAACAATGTTAGTTTATGAGAATGAGTTTGTTGGGTTTGTGGTAGTGGTGGGGGGTACGTATTCTTGTCTTGTTTTTAGGTAATGATTGAGTGTTGGAGAGGGGATTTGGTTGTGTTGTGTTGTGTTGAGGGATTGGGGTATGTTATCATAACAACTCCCAACTGGACCAAAAGAGATACCTCTCGGTCAGAGAGTGACTGGCATGGTAGTAGTAGTAGTAGGTAGTCCAACATATGTTCTCCATGGATGGATGGATGTGGGCTGGGAGGGAGTATAGTGAGGGTTGTATCGGTCTATTTGTTGGGATTCTCCTCGTTGATGGGTGGTAGTATGTGGATGTGGGCTTATAGAAGCTATGATCTTGAGGGTAGGATTGAGGGAAAGAAAGAGAGAGAGAAAGAGAGATAGTGGGGTTAATATGAAGTATAGATCTTGCCATCTAGATCGACTAGCTCATTCGTATCTAGACCAAAGATATCGGAATCGCCATGATAGGCAATCCATAGCAGTAGCCAGTGAATTATCCGGTTATGAGAGACTACCCCGCACAGCGATATCGATAGCTGAATGAAATCACGATAGAGAAAGAAAGCGCCGTCACATGACAACCAAATGGAAGCTCCGGCGGGGCAGAGCTGCAATGCAACCGCAACATGCAACATCTCCCTCCAACTGCCAAATGATATATGCACTGATCGCCTCTTGTGCCGGAACAAAAAGCCATCAGCACCCACAGGCTTGTGATAAGAGCCAGGACTGCACATCAGCCGCCCGTGGCAGCTACGTCGAACATGTCACTTTGTACCCCGCTTGATCATGCCGCGAACCGGGAGATCCGCACGAACCGGTCCGACCGACTTGCAGAACATCAAGCAGGTAGGTAGCTAGCTCTCTTCAACCTGGAGCAGGACCGAGCCGTCATCGCGCTTGATTTCAAAGCTACCAGTTGGTTCTATTGTTAGCTGTCGCGCCAGCCACTTAGCGACGGGCATTATTCGTCACGCATTTGCCGGATTGCTCATCTCTGTGACTCAATTCAGGGCGCACCGTACCGCGCCGCGCCCATCCGCTCACCGGGTGACCAGTGACGGTGCTCGAATCATCTATTCTTCAGGGCCCCCAGATTGCCTCTGTCAGTTAGTCGCCCGGGTGATCTCTCCCCAGTGTCCTCGTTTCCGACGCGTGCGCCTCGCACGTGCGGACCTCATGACCCATGGGCAAAGGCTGAGCTCTTAAAACGCGCGACTACTACCGGTGGTGTCCCGGGGGTTGTTGAGATGTGTCCATTTTACCTCATCATGATTAGTGCTTGCCCTGTTGGCGAGCCTTGGGATTTTCTGTCGAGGAGGGTTTGAGATACTGGGCTTTTTTGTCGTTACCTGACTGCTGCTTTGGTTTCTGCCTAGGAGGTACCCATCTTATTTATTATCGGTCCTTACCCATCGCGAGATCTATCCTGATAAATCGATTCTACAGCTAGACTCACTGCCTGTTGATATGCCACACTTGGTCCACCACCGACGACGCCACTCTTGGCCATACTGCGGTCCTGGGACGCAGCTGCGTGAACGGCGAAACCTGCCGTTGGTTATCCCCGAACAGCAGTTCTTGACACCGGTGGGATCGGAGGATTTGCTCGAGGATGATGCCGCGTCGGCGGGCATCGTTCGTTCCAAGACTGCACGACCTCATCGACGTTGGTTTGCTCCATGGGATTCAACCACACCCGGGGTACCCGGGGCACCCGGGCAAATCGCGAGCCCGGGTGCTGGATCGGGTTCGGGGTCACTCCGGAAAATGATCCGTCCGCCGTTGGATAAGGCGCGATCACTCTTTGTGCTGCCTACTACGACGACTGCCGGGGAGAGCGTGCTGATCTCGTACTGGGTACCACAGGGAGCTCCTGTTGCGCCGGTTCCAGCGCCGATGTCTGGAAGAGGGAGGGGATCTGGTTCCGAGACCGGGGCTGGATACTTGTCAGTTGATCGATATCATCGACGATGCCATTCGGAGCAGCCCCGGTCTTGGAAAAGGCCAAGCGCTAGTTTGTGGCCACTCGAGGAGGAGTAGCCCAGTTTTCTTATTTGCCAGTTGTTTCCAGAGCTTGTTCTTTTCAGGTTGGTCGGTTGGTATTCATTGCATCGCGAGGTTGCTCAAGGCGTTGCGGGACATCTTGCATGTGGCGGATCTTTGTGTGGCGGTCGCATGTCTGCTTTGAGGGTCATAGCATTAACAGTAGATTGTCAAGCCAGAAATAATGAAAAACGGCCTTATGACCGGACTTGTCGCAGCATAACTCTCCCTATACTGTGTACGGAGTACTCCGTACTCGCTCCACTCGGCACAGCGTGCCGACCACGTCTTGGCAACTGGGATGTGATGTCATTGGGTGGATGCAGAGCCTCAAGTGGGCCGCTGGCACGAGTCCCCAAACAGGAGCCCGCCTGAGACTTTTTCCCGTCGACGCGCGCTGGCCTTGCGGTTAATCTTCACAAGGCAGCGCCCATCCTAATTCCCTCAGGACACTTTTCGCGCCATTTTCATAAATCCCGCAGCTGAGGAGCGAGATTTTCATAATTTCGACAGGGGCCATGTTTCAGATAGCAAACTTCCCTGCGTTCTATTTAAAGCAAGTCCGTGAGTTCATTTCTCAAAGTCTGGATTGACTGCCGCCTGAACCAGCGACCGGGGGGGATTCAGCACTAAGACTGTGCAAGACCGTAAGCCCTATGTCCCGTCCTAAACCGCATTTGACCATCATTTCCTATCCTGCCAGTTAATCTCTCGGATTTTTCACTTGGCAGTCTGCAAGGTGGGGGCGGAATTCTCACCCAGTTTTTGTCTCGTGCGAAGCATTCTGGAAGATGCTTGGAATGTGATCTCTCACTGATCGACTGGTTACCTGTAGTGATAACAACATTCCCTTCGCATACCTATCACCGAGAGACACAGCACCGCCATGGACGCAGGCGCCCGAAGGAGAAGGGAAACAAGGCAGCGGTGAAATGGAGCCTCCTGATGGGTCACGCCCGGGTGACAGGCAGGCTGATTGGTGGGCTCGGGAAGCCATAGGGCAGAGGCGTGGGGACGACGAAGATCCTCACCGACTCAGCTCCGGTCCGTGACTCAAGAAGGGGCCGTCGGAGCCCTATCGATGGAGCCCCTCCACGCTGGCATCCTCTCATTCGTCCGCTCGGTCACGACCGGCAGGGGTCCCATGCCCCGGATAGGGCCAGTGCGGTTCTGATAGGCTCCTGCGTGGGCTTCCAGACGGGCTCGGAACGAGTTCAGTCGGGGGGGCAGATGGTACATAAATATAGCCCTTCCCCCCGTCCATCTCGGATTCAGCCCTGTGATTCCTTCTTATCCACACTCCTCTGTTTTCTTGACATTATATATCGCTTCACCCGGCATGGACGACTACCAGACATCCACTCAACCCTCTCACTACCACCCAAACACCCTCAAACGGGCCCTCTCTCAATCCACCACGTCCTCCACCTCATCCACAACCACTACTCCATCTTCACCCAACACACACCTCCCAAAGACCAAACTTCGCAAAGCAAGCCGTCTCTCTAGCGTGAAAGATTTTCTCCGCTCGCGTTCCAACTCTCCAGCTCCTTCAGATCGCTCCTCTCCAGTCCCCAGCTTCGAAATCCCTCGAAGCATTCTTTCGCACTCTGATCATCGCTCTACAAGCCCTACCACCATGCCTCACCGAGTCTCCTCTGACAGCCACAGCGCAAGCCACAAGCGCTCAACCACCTCCACAAACCGCAGAAGCGGCGACGACTACCGTCGCTACAGCGGGACGGTGAACCATTATGGTCGTCACTCGAATGACTGGTTGTTCGGTGGCTTCAGTCTGCGGGATACGGTCCGCGATGGAGTTGATCGGTTGAGACATCACTCCAAGGACTGAAGAACTCGGAGACCTGCATATACCTGCACTGTGTATCTGCTGGAGTGGATTATACTTTTGTATTGCCGCGGTTCTCATTCCGAACGCATCAACACTTGGGTTCGGCATTTCTGGAGTTCCACCGTTGACTCTAGTGTCATTGGATTGCCAATCTCAGCCTTCAGAGGCTTCAAGCCTGGGGAGGACTCAAGCCTGGGGAGGACTCAAGCCTGGGGAGGACTCAACAGCTCGAGTCCATTAAGAGACTTTGGGCATCGTGACTTACGATGTTGGTTCGGAGGAAGATGATTCTTCAAGTTCATCGATCGCCCGCCTCGCTTTATGCATCAGCAAGAATGCTAGATGCATCTGGTGTCTATTTGATCCGACTGGATCCATGCCTTATGACTATACGATTTATACCCTTGGGCTCTTGGCCTGTTACTTAGTTTCATACTTATTTATTTATTTTATTCAATTTCAGATTTATATTCACTTTATTGATCCCAAGTTTTCCCCTATACTCCGTAGCAATTCAGTCAGAACATAGTAGTTTAGCACAGACACTAACCACATCCTTGGAGCTCCAC